GTATGTATATATACTATTCTAAAAGCTACAAGATTGGTGACTTTAGCCACTAACCATTTGTTACGGAACTGCTTGTTTCTCGGTGGGCCGCGCCGGCTGGCTCATCGCTTTCTCTGGGTGCAGTCCCATCCCTGGCCCGCAGTCCGCACAATCGATAACAACAAAGCTACACGTCTGTAGCAAAACAGACTTACACAACACTATGCAAAACGAACCACAAATCGATAACATCAAACAATCGGTGCGTATGTGCGAGATGTTGAAAACTGAGATCATGTTTTGGAACGTTTTGGATATGAACTCCGTTATTAGAGTGGATGACCTCGGGTACTCCAGACTTATAAAAAATCTCGCTGACCAAAAACTCCACCACGTTAAGAGCCGTTGCGTTCTGCATCGCTTTCAAGAAAGTAATTTTTGAAAGGTAGTCGACTACCACAAAGATCCACGCGTGCCCTTGTTTCGAACATGGGTACTTTCCCAGAAAGTCAATATATAGTTTTTGGAATGGTCGTTCGGTAACTACCTCCTCCCCTAGACCCACTTGGATGCGAAAGTTCGGTGCCTTGACTTCCTTGCATGTCACACTCTGTCTCAGCCAATCCCTTACCCGATTAACCATGCCGGGCCAGTAAAACCGCCTACGTAAGTCCTCGAGCCTTTTCACGACACCCCCATGAGCAGCCGTCTCATCTTCACGAGTCTTCGCTATTAAGCCGGCTGTCAACGAGCTTGGCACCCACAACTTCCATATGGTGCCTTCTAACTCGTCTTGCAAGTGGACGAACCCCAAACGCTTGAAAAGTAGATTACATTCAAACTTTAGATCCGGTAGTTTGTCCTGATTTGAACGTACTTGTTCGAGCAAGGCCTGACATTCCGCGGAGTCAAACTCGGTGAGCTCAAATTCGTGAAGGCTTTCCGTAACCTTTCCTACGGCTTCAATACTGCGCGATAAGTTGCCGGCTGCTACGTTCTCACTGCCTTTACGGTGCGCGATGGTAAAGTCGTAGCCTTGCAGCTGCAATGATCAACGTGCTAGCTTCCCGCAAAAGTCCTTCATAGACATAAGCCATTTTAGGCTGGCGTGCTCCGTGATGCAGGTGAAAGGCATCCCTTCTATATAGGGTCGGAACTTTTTTATGGACAGTATCGACGCTAAGAAATCCTTTTCTGTGACGGAATAAAAAGCGGCCTACCTGGTACAGTAAATGCGGTATAGGGCTTGCTTTTTTCGCCTAGTTTGACCTGCCAATAAGCGAACTTCAGATCCACACTGGAGATGTAGTGGGTGTGGTATATTCTAGATAGGATGCCTTCTATATAGGGTAGTGGATACGCATCTTTGCTTGCGTGAATCGAAACAAAAACGAGTTTTTCCTGGTCTTCGCACTACGGCTGTGCGGTTACTCCATGGGCTATTGCACTTTTCAATAACCTTGAAACTCAACATTTTATCTACCTCGTCATCCACTATAATGGGTAGAGCTCAAGAGCTCTTCCCCTTGGTGTTCTGTGGAGGTTATCTTCTCGGAGCCCAAAATATCAGGGGCTAGGTAAAAAGCTCGGCAGAAATCAGTTCCAAAATAAGCTCGCTGTTTCAGGTAGGGGCAGATGAAAAACGTTATGTTTTTATGCTGCTCCTTGTACGAGAATAAGAGCTCTACCCTACCTATGACCCAAACATACGGTTGCACCGTAACTCCTAGTTCTACTAATTCTCGACCACCTTTTCCCAGCAGGCTGACTGAGGCTCCGGTGTCTAGCAACCCTTTCATTTTGATTCCAGCGACCTCCACTTCGGCGAATACGCGTGGTTCTGGGCTATCCTCCCGTTTTACAGGTTCGAGGACCTGGCGCCTCAGCATCTTGCATCAGAGGAAGCGCCCGAGCTTTGAGCACTCCTCTGGTGGTTAATTTCATCCCCTCCAGCTGTCGCTCACCAAAAATTCTATTCCGGGCCGACATGTATGGACACGTTCTTCATATGATAAGCCTCTTAATGGTCTTGCTTCATTATTATCCTTATATATAAACTTATCCTGGTTCTTATGGGCTATATTCTTCTCCTTTACCAGTGTTATTGGTTTTGGTAGGTGTGGCTCTCTTGTTTTTCCGCGGTCGCCGTCCCTGAATGCGTCTTTCCCGCTTTTATCGCGCTCCCTCTGGGTTTCTCGGACAATTTTGGCATTATGCACAGAATGTGTCCGACTTTCTGCATCTGTAGCAGAATATCTTCCGCTCCGTAGAGTGGCAGACCTTAAGACGTGGTCAAACTGACTACAGTTCCAACACACTAGCCGAGATGAAGTCCTGCCTCGCACGAATGCCTTCTCCAGTTCTCTAGGCGATGTTTCCGCACGATGTGGTGGTACGTCAACCTCGTGAACTGTGGGCCGCGTTCTTTGTGGGTAACGCCACGGCTACATCCATGGCATAGACGTGTTTTGCTAGACCCTCCTTCAAGCAACGCTTTATAATCATTACCAGTTCGCGGTCTCTCAGCGGTTTCGGGATTCGCGCGGCGAGTTGACGCATGTGGTAAATATAGTCGTCCACCCCTTCGGTGGTCTAATGCTCTCGCTGTAGTAGTTCCTGCATCACGTCGTAATCCGTCTGATATCCCCGGAACCTGTCTTAAGAGCGTGCCGCAGTTTTTTTCGCAAGCACATGCTCTTTGGCCGGCGTAGAAAAATAATATTAAACTTTAATGTTTTAACTTCAAGGCAGGACGTCCGCTATTGACTACTGAATAAGTCGAACTCCCCTTTGCTGTACATTGGGTAGCAACATCAAAGGTGCCGAAATTCGGCATACGCATACATTTAAATATTGTTACCGTTGCTGCCCATCTGCACGGCTGCTTTCTGTTTTTATTTTTTTTTTTTTGGGTCAACGGTTCGAATGACGGCCAAGGGCATATTCAAGGGCATGCGATCCACTCTCTTACCTCTTTGGGAGCGAAACGGCAGCCAATAGCAATCTCCTATTTTGGCGCCGTGGATCGCAAGTCCGGTGTTGCCACTTATCCATATTTTAAGCGCCGATGGGTGCCCGGCTTCACTAAGATACTCTGCCACTATGACCAATGATATCGACGCGGCCGATAATAAAGAACGCAACCAATAACGGGCAATATCGATGTCGCCGATATGTCAAATGCAACATCACCACGCAGATTATTGTAAACGCGAACCCGACCTTTACGAAAAATCTGCGTGCGCATTTCCCATCCGGTATGCCCAGCCGGCCAAATAGAACGCCCAACGTAGGCCACACCCACGACCCTGATCTACACCCGTATGTCCATCGCATGGAACACTCCTAAGGGTTTCCATTTCAAATCTTCAAGCAGGTACGAGTTGTTGCCTACTCGACGCACTTCTTTGGGCTTAAGGAACTTTCTTGCAAACTTAGCGTTAAAAGCTTTCCAAAAATCACTCAGCGCAAAATTGCTTCGGTAAACTTCTTGGCCGGTTCTGCCTGAAACACCCGGGCCCGGGTATTGTACTGCCGCTGACTTCTTTCGTAAGCCTGACGTAGTTGGCCTTGGACTCGCTGTCTATTCAGATGTATTTTGTCTGCTGGGTGCAAGTGGCAGGTCTCATGATCTTTCAGAGACACCAACCTACGAGCCAATCTGTAGCATGCCTCATTAAGGAACATATAATGTCCGAAAACAACAAAGAAGGGGGTCCCCCTTGTCACGGTGTGTATGGAATTTTGTATGGAAATCTTACTCTAGATACCCCCGGATGGCCGACAACACGGTACAATTAACTTGCTCGCGCACATTGCTCTGTGGTGCGTAGACTGGGGTGCATATATGCGAGATGTTGAAAGCTGAGATCATGTTTTGGAACGTATTGGATATGAACTGTAGTCCGTTATTAGAGCGAATGACCTCGGGTACTCCAGACTTATAAACTTTACTGCCTCCAACTCTATCCTCAACTCCCATGAATCTGGTTCCTTTTCACCTTCTTCGTCCTCTTCCGCATAATGTGTCATCGACACTGCCAAGAGCTCTTCCCCTTGGTTTTCTGTGGAGGTTATCTTGATGATGCCCTTCATCATCTGCATGAAGCCCGTTCGCATCTCCTCGCGGATGGATTCGCTGATTTCAGCGGGCAAAGTATGCAGATATGTTTGGTGGGTTTGAGCTATCGCCACGTTCGCTGCCGACGGAGTCCTTCGCCGGTTTTGGAAACTCCAGGTACCGTGGAGGTCTGTCTTGTTGCGCTAATTCCTTCTCCAAGTCAACTAGATGACCCTCCAACGGGATCTGTCGTTCAGCAAATCCTCGGAAATTCATCGGTGTTCTCACTAGACCTCCTGTCGAACGTGGCGGTGGCAGTGCTGACGCTCCGTCAGCCTTAGAACCCCAATCAGACACCTGTTCCTCGGCTATACTAAACCCTGATACCAAAAAAAAACTTTCGCCCATAATTCCTATTAAGTGAATAAATAAATAAACGCCCACTAACAAATCTTACTAATATTGAATAATAAATAAATAAGCAAATAAATAACGACAAAAAAAAAAATAAAACAAAAAAACTCAAGGGTTTTTTTTTCTTCTCTTCTTTAATAAATTTCAAATATTAGCTACTAATCCTAGCACAGGCTTACTTATCTACGCACTGGACAGTGAAAAAAACATTTAAGCGTTCGACAAATGCTCAGGTCGTCCGTTCAACTGACGAACGGCACTTAAGGAACGCTACCTTGAAGGCTTTTATGTTTCTGTCGCATTTCTGGACACCTCCAGGACATACTGTGGGACAGGTGCGGCGCGGGATCGAATCTATATCGTCCTGGGTCACCTGGTTCATTAGTATTATTATTATCATTAGTATCCTATTATTTTTTTTTCTTTGTTGTACACGCCGACCTCAAAGAAGCCGAGTGCCTTTTCAACATCAAAATTCGGTCGGCACATTGTCTTCTAATTATTTGTAACGGAAGCTGCTTGTTTCTCGGTAGATCGCGCCGGCTGGCTCATCGCTTTCTCTGGGTGCAGTCCCATCCCTGGCCCGCAGTCCGCACAATCGATAACAACAAAGCTACACGTCTGTAGCAAAACAGACTTACACAACACTATGCAAAACGAACCACAAATCGATAACATCAAACAATCGGAACTCCAAACAGATGAACAACATAAACAGCTGTGACGATAAATAAATGTAAGCAACAGAGATGAGATGTTGATATAAACTAACAAAAACACTATTAATTCACTTTACTCTTCCAGCTCGGGCCCCGCTTCCAGATCCAGCGTACCCGCCCTACCATGAGACGATCACCTACTCGTCTCCCACATTTTAGCCATTTGATGGTCTGCATCAGCCTGTGCCGGCTATTATGCCAACTCTCCCCATCATCGAAAATTTAGCCGGACATTTCTCTCTTCAGGTACGGTATATAATTGGTTGCATTCCTTATCACTATTAACATTAAAACTTATTTATTTTTCCCTTGCAGGATATCTCCAAGCTGCTATTTATAAAAAAAAAAAATAATAGGATTCTAATGAAGGTACAGAGAAAAGGGCTTTCTTTGCTTTAGGGTGCACATCGCTGAAATCTTATGCCCACGAGTTCGTGCCACATAATCGGGCGGCGGGTCGTGGAATTCGAGAAGCACGACGGAGATAGAGATTAACAGAATATCCATGAGCACGAGAAGTTTTTCTTGTAGTGGTTGATGGCAGTAAGTCACATGTTTCGCATGTTGGCGAAAGGTTCGTGACTGTTCATCATTCGCCTGGTGGTAGCCGCTATGACAAAATATCCTGTGAGGAAATGTGATATTGAGTAGGGTGTGTTAGATTTTTTTTATTGCTTACTATTTGTTTTGCCTCACTCTGGGTATACGTTTGCTATATGCTGGCCGTGGTTGTATGAGCTTCGGAACCAGGTGACCCAGGACGATATAGATTCGATCCTGCGCCGCACCTGTCCCACAGTATGTCCTGAAGGTGTCCAGAAGTGCGACAGAAACATAAAAGTCTTCAAGGTAGCGTTCCTTAAGTGCCGTTCGTCAGTTGAACGGACGACCTGAGCATTTGTCGAACGCTTAAATGTTTTTTTCACTGTCCAGTGCGTAGATAAGTAAGCCTGTGCTAGGATTAGTACCTAATATTTGAAATTTATTAATTATTTATTTATTATTCAATATTAGTAAGATTTGTTAGTGGGTGTTTATTTATTTATTCATTTAATAGGAATTATGGGCGAAAGTTTTTTTTTGGTATCAGGGTTTAGTATAGCCGAGGAACAGGTGTCTGATTGGGGTTCTAAGGCTGAGGGAGCGTCAGCACTGCCACCGCCACGTTCGACAGGAGGTCTAGTGAGAACACCGATGAATTTCCGAGGATTTGCTGAACGACAGATCCCGTTGGAGGGTCATCTAGTTGACTTGGAGAAGGAATGAGCGCAACAAGACAGACCTCCACGGTACCTGGAGTTTCCAAAACCGGCGAAGGACTCCGTCGGCAGCGAACGTGGCGATAGCTCAAACCCACCAAACATATCTGCATACTTTGCCCGCTGAAATCAGCGAATCCATCCGCGAGGAGATGCGAACGGGCTTCATGCAGATGATGAAGGGCATCATCAAGATAACCTCCACAGAAAACCAAGGGAAAGAGCTCTTGGCAGTGTCGATGACACATTATGCGGAAGAGGACGAAGAAGGTGAAAAGGAACCAGATTCATGGGAGTTGAGGATAGAGTTGGAGGCAGTAAAGTTTATAAGTCTCGAGTACCCGAGGTCATTCGCTTTAATAACGGACTACAGTTCATATCCAATACGTTCCAAAACATGATCTCAGCTTTCAACATCTCGCATATATGCACCCCAGTCTACGCACCACAGAGCAATGCGCGCGAGCAAGTTAATTGTACCGTGTTGTCGGCCATCCGGGGCTATCTAGAGTAAGATTTCAATACAAAATTCCATACACACCGTGACAAGGGGGACCCCCTTCTTTGTTGTTTTCGGACATCATATGTTTCTTAACGAGGCATGCTACAGATTGGCTCGTAGGTTGGTGTCTCTGAGTGATCATGACATCTGCCATTTGCACCCAGCAGATAAAATACACCTGAATAGACAGCGAGTCCAAGGCCAACTACGTCAGGCTTACGAACGAAGTCAGCGGCAGTACAATACCCGGGCCCGGGTGTTTCAGGCAGAACCCGGCCAAGAAGTTTACCGACGCAATTTTGCGCTGAGTGATTTTTGGAAAGCCTTTAACGCTAAGTTTGCAAGAAAGTTCCTTAAGCCCAAAGAAGTGCGTCGAGTAGGCAACAACTTGTACCTGCTTGAAGATTTGAAATGGAAACCCTTAGGAGTGTTCCATGCGAAGGACATACGGGTGTAGATCAGGCCTACGTTGGGCGTTCTATTTGGCCGGCTGGGCATACCGGATGGGAAATGCGCACGCAGATTTTTCGTAAAGGTCGGGTTCTGTTGATATATGAATGTATTTTGTGTACTGAGGTTGACTCCGTACAAAATATGTATTTTTAAGTCAATGCAAATATTTATGTAATTTTGTTTACATTGTCTTTGGTTCAGGGCATCCCTTAGTCGGGAGCTCCCGACTAGAACCTCTTACTTGTTTCTTGTAGTTTTTCTTATTTTCTTATTCTTATTCTCATTCCAACCAGATCATGGAACGGCCTCCTCTCTTTCAGTTTAGGTATATTTGTTATAAAGTTACAAATTTGTTAAGTTTATTTTTTGGTAATATTTTGGCAGGGACTTGTTTTGTAGCCAAATAATAGTTGGGATAATTGTTTCAATAAATGGCGACTGTCACCAAGTGCGTTTTACTTTCCGGACAACGGATACTAGCTTGTGGAGTGAGGGTATGTATGACGGGCTCCCTCGCAGAAAAGTCGGCAGTGAATGTGGGCTTAAGCCCAGCCCACTAATAGGCAATGATTATCCGAGGGTATAAGTAATGCGATTAGGGAGGAGATCAGGTTCAGAATGCATAGTATGATGTAACTGCTTAATAGAGTGCTTTGTCGTAAAGGTGCAACCTCACAACAGACTAAAAGTTCTAAAGCTCCGACGGTTCGGCCAAAGCCAGTTCCAACTGCCAGGCCGACTAACCGTGGTGCCACACCAAAAGGGCAATTTAAATAACATTCTTTTTGAAGGGCCACCTCTTCCAACCAAACCATTTCATAGTAGTCAAGAGGACAGAATGAGCAGTCCAAAATGGATGACGAACAAGCTCGTGAGTGGCGAAACCAGCGACAATATAAACACTAAGATGAGTAACGCCCATACATTTGAATGCGACGGAAAATTTCTAGCCTGGCCTTTCATCCGGCCTTTGAGGCTTAGTACGGCATGCCTGCCGACTGGTTGTTCGTTCTCCAAAGACCAGACGAACGAACGCCGAAGTCGCGGCTTGCTGATGCTGACACGAGCTACGAAGTTAATCGCCAGCATGCCTTCAGCAAAGCTGGTCGATGCTGCTTTGCGTCGCTTCGTTTTCGAAGTAAATTGAGCGAAAAAGTTTAGAGCTTACGATCGACGCAAAGTGCTTGTGCTTAATCCATGAAATGCATGATTCATTGAAATGATATATTACCATAGATACTAACGATTAATTTTACAGGAAAATTTGTGCAATAACTACGATAAGAAAATACCACACATAGATTGATTTCACTTTTGTTTTTGAACAGTGTATGCTCGAGAAAAGTTCTTGTCTCAGCCAATGGCGTGCGTGCACCTTTGGTTGTATGCGTGAATGACACATGCATAAGAACTTTAAAGAATGTATGTATGTGTTGTTATTCACTGCTCTGGCTTTAGCTGGCAAGACATTAATTTTGTTAGTTTTCTAGCGCAGATCATGACCTATCTCAAATTTGTGTTGATAGATAAATGCATTTTGTGTACAAAAAATATGTATTTCTAAGTCGATGCAAATATTTATATAATTTCTTTAAATGAAATTTTTATGATTTTTATTCTCCAATTAAGAAATAAAAGAGTGCTAAAAAATACAATTACAAATTTATTTTAAGAAAATTGTTTCTTCGCCAGTCAGAGACTTTGCTAGATCAGAGGATAACAACACTTTCAAATATGCTGTTATGTATGTATATACACACAAGGCCCTCATAGAGCCGAAGCTGAGAGCACATTCTATATTTAGCTTTTTCGTTCTCTCGGCTTTGCGAGCGCAATGCTACAGATTTCGTTTTCATTCTCAATTTTCAAAAAATCGAGCTGTATAGTAGCAATTTGTTATATGGCGTTAATCATCTTAGAGTTTATATTGTCTTTGCGTATATTCTATACGTACGTAGAAGAAGGTTGTGGAGAGGCTCACGTTGGGACGATCTCAGATTAAGGAAAGGGGCGGTAGAAGATCGGACGCCAAACACATTGCTCCCAATGTTTTCGTCAGTGACTTTGCGTCTTTGTGAATCCTTGGGTATTATTGAGGGAGTCTCTATCTCTATCAATATATCGGTGAGGGTCCTAAGCACCTTAGAGCGACCCACCTTTCGCATGGGTAGAACTCAGGATCCACTGAATTGACCAAAAACGCAGGAGTGCGTAGGCGGATGCTCGCCCGAATCGCTCGCAGAAAAATGAGCGATTTACCCAGTCGTTGATTTACCCATGCCAATTCTGACTATGGGTAGCAAATTCACCGAAAATATGATTGTATGGAGAGGCTTTCGGCAGCAACGATAAAGTCAATTTTGATGAGGCGGTGCAAGACAGTCGGACTCTGCTCAAACGCACCAGTAGCACTTTTCTTTTTTATTCCGGCGAATTAAAAAAGCTTAAGTAGCCTGAAATATACATTTGGCAAGGAACTTATAAAACGCTTATTAATAATAATATATTTAACAAAATATTCAAATGGTACCAAAAGAAAATGAATAGCCCATATAAAATTAGTAATGCCGGAGAAAAGATATTCAAACTTCCAAAACATATACAACCGACACTAAAAAATACGACACACGAAACGTAATAAACAATCCAACAAATGAAAACGGCAAACGGTTCTGGCAACGAAAAGATCCACGCTGAGGATTTTAGGTCGACCACGAAGTTCTCGAGCCATAGAGACCAGCAGGTTTCCACCCAGACAATGTTTCGCTCCAGTGGTGCCCGTCAGCCATATCATCGGCGCCCTTTTTACTGGCATTATCCAGACGGATAGACGATGAGGCAAATGACAACGTCAACCGAATGACTCCGTTCCATAACGTCTGTCTTCGGCCCGAGCAACAGGCAGAGCCAGAAACAGACTCATATTAGGCCCCCTAAAGAGAAAAAAGCGTTTTACCCATAAACTAACTACTGCACGAGCGATCATCGTAACATACCCGGTTATATGTTATTTACGTTGGTATCTTGTTCTCCATTGGTGCAAACTACTGACAAGTAACTTTTATGTTAATTCTTGCGGCCACCGACAATAGCGTTTGGCAAGATTCTCCGTTTGCTTACGATCGTGCGAAAATATTGTTGAATTGAATTGTATTCTATAGTGAAATGAAATTTTAGATTTTGATTGTTATAATCATAAGATTATGGAGGGGATGTGAATGTCCACGTCGTTCGGATAAGTGCCGTCTTACATATGAAATTTTATGGTGGTGAAATGCGAATTAATCAATAGCACCACAAAAACAACAGCGATGCCACCGTTTAATGTCCGATTTGTTGTTATTGGGTTTTATTAGTTTTTTTCTTATCTTTGTTTTGCGTAGTTTTGCTCCTGGCCCTTGTGTCCGTTTTGGAATCCGTTGTTTAGAGATGTGTCGATTTGGTGTTGTTTTTGTGTGAATGAAAGTACTGGCTGGACGGCGTTGACCCTCGACTGACAAACCGACACGTAACAAATTCTGTTAAGGAAATTTGTCCTTTTTTAATCACGTATAATAATAGTTTCGATAGGGTATAAATATGTCGCATATAAAGCATATGTACGTCTACATGGGTGTTTTGTTTTCGACTCACTTAAATGACTATTAGTTGTATACTCAGTTAATAAGCTCTTTAAATTAATAATCCAATGACAAAAAATTATAGTGTTTTTGTGTCTATTTCCCTGCAAATTTAGTTGTCAACAATTTTCTGGTCGCAGCATTGGGCATTGGGTTGGTGCGCATTTTAAATAGCCTATCTTGCCCAGTATCTCACTCCGACATACGTCACAACCCCTAAGAGCCAATATTCCATCTCTTAAATTATGGTATCAACGCCGTTACACCGATACGTTTACTCCTTAGGAGGCGAGATAGGTCATACACATATTTCCCTTTTTAGCTCTTCAGTTTGACGAGTAAAACGGCAGGCAAACCCGTGTCGAAGAGAAAAGCAATAACGAAACAAGAGAAAACACTATACTACAAAAATATTAAAAAGTTAGGGTAGGTTTCTAGCACTTATCCATGAATACTGTAGTCATTTTGAACTTATTTTAATTCGCTTTAAATGCGTAGTGCCCTTTTAATAAGTAGGGACTAAATACTTCAAGAGAAATTTTTCAATGCCATATTAATTTTTAAAGATTAAATATTAATTATACACTAGCAATAAATAATTTTTTTTATTGAAATGCAAGCTTGCACAACAATTTCTCATACAATTAACGAAATACATTTTATGGTTTTTGTTTTATTTTGAAGGTTTATTATGAAATAGAACATACATACATATAAACATTTGTGGAATTCATTAAAATTTACATTACTTATATAATAAGCTTAAAACATGAAAACACATCCATATATATATATGTATGTAAGTATAGTTCATACAGCAAATATGCAATAGTTTGAAGTGTCTTAATACAAAAACATTAGTTTCGACTCCGACTTGGGGCTAAAGCATGTAAGCGCCTTATTTGGTTAAGTAATTTAGAAAATCTTAATCTTCATTTATACAAGAGAACATTTCAAACCAGTCGTTTCTATGGCAGTACATACATGTACATATGTATATAATATATTGTAGCCTGGTTCAGCGGACCCTGATGTTTGTATAGCCTGTAACAACAGATAACCCTACGCAAAGTATCACAAGGATATATTTAAAACTGAGGGATTTGTTTTAATAGAAACAAACAGCCAAATTGTATTATGAGGATTTTAATTTGTGTTGTAGAGTGTAATCGACCATCATTATGGAAACGGAATGCAATAGCAATGATAGCAGTAGGTGGCAGCGGCAGCGACGTTACGTTCGAGGCGCCTTATGTATGTATAAATACTCAGAGCCGAACGCGACTGCTTTCATTTCCCTATAGTGTTTAAAGTGACATGAAAGTGGCGACATTGGTGCATTACAAAAAGTCATGTATCAGCATGTCCAACCAAGCAACAGAAATCATATTTATGACGACGGTGAGTGAAGATGTCCAAGTTTAATAAATTTTACATACATATGTACATAGTTGCAGTTACTTTGGGTTCTGCATACAATTTGGATTTTTTTTCGTGTTTCTTTTTAAACTAATGTGAATTTTTTGGTGCAATATACATACATACATATATGTATGTCGCGTGTAAAGTGGCAGATATTACAGTTGCATAGGCGGAGAAATACGGTACAGTATTTAATGTATTTTTGGTTTGGGTCTTATAAGAAAACATTTATCAAGCATAACAAAACGTTATGCTTTACCTTGGTTTACATACATATAATGAATATAGCAAAAAAAAAATCTGATTTTAATCCACTGGCAGGCGGACAGGCCTGAAATTAAGGCAACTCAGGCGCATGCGTTAGACAAGGAAAATAACGGGAATATATGTTATTTTGTGGGGAAATTTTCTCTGCATTGTGTGTAAATTCACACATAAAAGTGCTTGCGAAACAGCTGTTTTGCCTTATATATGTACATAGATATATTGCTAGCTGAGCTTTATAAAAATGCAACTTACAGCCGACCCAACATCAGTGCAAAATCGACAACACCCTTTTTACCGGAGTCACTTTTACTATGTTATGTCTGCCCCCTCGAATTCCAGTAAATAACCAATAATGCCGGCGTCGAAAACAGCCATTTGAGTAACTGAATAATAAATAATACAAAAATAATGTACATATGTATAAATACTTATGCACATATTTACATACATACATACATAAGTTTGCATATGCATTGTATATAATTATATTTTTGGTGAAATTTAATACTACCCCATATACAGCACATTCGAATTGCACCAAAAATATAATTAAATATATGTATGTATATATACATACATATTCACATGTACTGATACACAGGCTTATTTGCCCCATAGAGTCAGTAACTTTGTTTACACGTATGTACGTACTAAATACATCTGTATATGTATATGTCCGTACATCATTTCAAACCAAATCATAGTTATCCACTTGGTGGGCAGATTGTTACGCAACATTTCAGTTACTTAGTATGCCCGGCATTTAGTACCAAGTTCATGAGGGGCGTTAGTGCTGCAGGTATTTAATTAAATTTATGTACTTACATATGTAAGTATTGTACCTACATAAACATACATATGTATATTTGTGTACATGTAATATTAGTCTAGGCATTTCCATAAAATGTGTGCCATGACTATTATCTGAAAGAAATTTATTTTTTTTTCATCTAAAACAAAAATATAATAATAAAACATTGTAAAGAATTGCCAGCTAATCTATTTGTTGACAATTTTTTAATTATACGGTTTTAATTAACTTCTTGTAATTCAGTACTTGCATAAAAGCCATTTTTTAAATGCTTTAGTATCCCAAAATTGTTCTTTAACAACAACAACAAACCTATAGATTGGTAATCGATTCTTTTATTCTTAGGTAAGCTTAAAAATTAAAAATTTTTTTTTAGATATTTGTGCTAATAGATTTTATGGCTGCGTCCACTGGGAGCGTAGGAAATCGTATACCTTCAGCAGTTCAGGATTGAATAATGAAAAAATTGAATGTAGAATAATAAGCTCTGAACTCTTAACAAATTCGCTGTTTCAAGTTGTAATTGAACTGATGGCGAATATTATGCTATCAAATAATTGATTTTTATGAAGATCTTTAAAAATCCGTTTGAAGTCAATCGTATCACTAACCATACAATGCATAGATACACCAAACAGCGTTTTCATCGAGAGATGTCTGAGACCATTTTAGTGTGTCCAGAGAGAGTAAGACTGCTGAGAGTGGCAGCCGAACGCCGGCCTCGAAAGCCGAACGATCAGTATCTCGCTTTGCGCACGACGTTGCTGCGGCTGATGCCTTTACATATATGTATGTTAGTTTTAAATCCTTTCAGCTCCAATACATACATACATATGTGTGTCTACATGTGCAGAGTGTACCACGCTATCCCTTAAGTGTTAATAAGCTATAATTATTGTGTCCATCTCTTTCTCCCTACATAGCTTCTCAAGAAACCCCGAGATCTACAAACATACTTATGTATGCTTGTGTTGTGTGGATGGCAGAGGTTTTTTCTTCAATTGTTTGCCTTTTGTGCTGGTGGTACCAATCAATTGGCACACACATTCAAATGCTCTATCTCTCTATCTATCATGTATTAATTCGTCCAGTCAGGCATAATAAGAAGAATGTGATCTATATTTATTAAATAAACAATTATTTGACCTAAATGAAATAATTATGTATATTTATTTTCTGTTAAGGGACCTAAGTGTAGGGAATTGCGTGAAATACTTAAATGTCGATGTCATATTTTTGCAGGGCTAATTTATCGTCGGTTTATCAAAGAATTTTAAGAAACGACCAAAAATTGACAATGTTCAATTTTTGCGACTTGCTTGTGCACACGCACACTCTTTTTAGTAAGCAGTTGTGTGATATTATTTAAAAAAATATGGTCTCAGTCACGCATGGCGCTCATCCGTTGCGATAAATTGTGTTACGATGAAACCCTGTTTGGTGTATCTATGCATTGTATGGTTATGATCGGACTTAAACTAAACTTTCGCACACACAATGTTTACTATACCATACTATTTCTACCCATTAGGATGCTCAGAAACTGAGAGATAAAGTAGATTTTCTTAAATAGGTTTAAAGATTATCGAATGAAAATCTGACTAATTTTCTACAAGAGCTTTCCGTGAATTTTCTGCCCTTTTCCAATATGTGTCAATAAGGTTTAAGTAAAACGAATGAAAATTGAAATTTCGTGAGAATAAAATTTTGTTTCCAAAATATGTTAAATACATTTCATATACGCTGTGCGTGTTCAGGTTATCACACCATCTATCATATATGGTTTCGACTCATTATAAACCAAACTAAAAATTAAAATTGTAAAGTTTTTGTTGGTTATAAGCTTCAACTCTCAATTGCATAAAACAAAAAGTTTACTTTTGGTTATTAAGTAAGGTAATGCCAAATTTGTATACTTTGAACCCATTAAAAATGGGTATAAGAGTATATTGTATTTGCGCAAAATCCAAATGTATGTAATAGGCAGAAGGAAGCTCCGACCCCATAAAGTATATATATTCTTGATCAGCACCAATAGCCTAGTCATCCAGCCATCTCCGTCCGTCCGTGCGTCCGTCCGTATGTATTAACGCAAGGATCTCAGAACCTACTTATAAGAGCTAGAGACTTGAAATTATTAAAAAAAATTAGATGTAGGTGCTCCTAGTGCCTGCGCAGATCGAGTTTGTTTCCGATAATCGATAACTTACTCCGTTTCCAAACAATCGATAAAAATCGATATCGATATCCTGTTTTTTGCGCAATTTTGGTAAATAATAAGGGCTAGAGTCACCAAACTTGACATATAGCTTCTAAAATAAAATATATATATGCATTTGATGTTGGAAGAAGAGGGTTCAGGGTATCCCCTAGTCGGGAGCTCCCGACTAGAACCTCTTACTTGTTTTTTTTTTTTTATAGAAATGTGAAGCTTTAGAGCCATGAACTCATAAGTTCACTTATATATTTAGTCATTATAAGGTCTTGCAACAAATAATGGGTCGATCTTCCCTTGTTTAGAATAACCCTATTTATGGATTCAATTGGAAAGCAACTTGTACAATTTTTCAATATAATCCAAGGTAATAGGTGACTGAAGGCGCCTAATTCCGTTTATAAATATATGTTTTTGTACTTTTTCCAGACTCGCAAACTTTATCAACCAGTCCCACACGTTTTCTACTATAATTATGTCAATGAATAAGGCCACTTCAATATACCGGCATATTGGGGCATAATGCATCCGACGGACAGTGTAGATCGTGTTGCATTTGACGTTATCGGCAGCA